TCAAAATGTATTATAATGAATTTATTTTTACTTGCAGTAGCAATGGCCCCTGTTAGAGCTTGACCATGTTAACTTTATTGCTTTGAGCATTCACAGATGCTAAGGAGCTCACAACTGGACATAGTCTTTTAAAATACCCCACAAGCTTAAATTTTTTTGAACAACAACAAAAAAAGTTCCAAGCACGTAGATCAAATCTAGGAATAGTGGAAATCAACAGAGTCAGATCTCTCTAGATCAGCTCTTTTCAGATCAGATCTCTTAGAACAACTTCTAAATTACTTGAAGTTCTTGCATCTCTTTGTAGGGTAAGATGCTACTTAGAATTAAAAGCACTAGAAATTGATATTACTCTCCCTGATTTACAGCAAATGGTAATATTCAAGCCCAAAACTGCTTTGGACCTGAGGAAATATTAGAAATTACTCAAAACAAGAGGAAAAAAAAAACTTTAACAAAATGACAAGAAGGAAAAACAGAAAAAAAAAAAATCTTTCTGCTAATATTAATGATATAGATGTAACATGGAGTAAAATATGCAGCTCTTTGTAGGGTTTAGGACTATTTTTGACAGAACAATACCAACATTATTCTATTTTATCTCCACAAGCACATCCCTTTCTCCCCCTGAAAGGCAGCAAATCTTCAGGTGACATTAATTTCCTCCTTGGTGGAAAATTTTCCTCCTTATTTTCCTTGGAGGGAGGCAACCTATCCTGCCATCTCTAACACACCTGTGGTTTCACTGAACACACCTTCACACACCTGTGTAAACAACCTAAGTTGTTTCCCAACTTATTGGATGAAGCAAATAATGCAACATTTCATGGTTGGTACTGTTTTATTGTCTAATATTGATTAAAATATTTACATTCCTACTTTTTAATCCACATTTTAAACACTCATACCTATGGCTTTTATTTTTAGCACAAAATCTTTGTGTCAAGTGTCAGAATTTCATTTCAAAAAACCCAGGAACCTGATACCATATAGACAAGTCTTCTCTACATTTAAACACAGTCATTTTTTAAAAAATAAAAAATTTATCAAAGAGTCTGGTAGTAGAAGGCTTTTTTTTCCAGCTCCTGTTTACCACATTCTACTGGGCTTTCCCTATTTTGAAGTGTCCCTTTTAAAGTGTCCCACTGCTTCCATGTGGAATCTGTTTTATCCTCTCCCTCAACACCCTCTTCCCCTCCCAGTCTAAACTAAATGCAAAGAAAAAAAAAAAATCAGTAGCTGACAATTTTAAGCAAAAACATAAAGCACTGTAACATTACCTACATTGCCTTTAACTGCACTAGGCTCTTAAACACTTTAGGAGCTTTGTGGAAGTTTAATCAGTCACTGTTGATTTTTGTGCTCCAGACCTCCATGATTTTTCCCCAGCCTGGAAGTTCAGAAGTACCAATCGATAGAAAGCATCTTGGATAATAAGGAAAGCAAGGATCACTGTTGGGACACAATGCCGTTGTTTGCCTACAGAATTCACAGGTAAACAACTGGCCATTTACAACAGAACCCACTGGGGGGGGGGGCATAACCACCTGGGCATGGCATAACAGTGATACAGGCAATTTGTTATTGAATTCCTCACAAGATGTCCAACTGTGTGGTAGATCCTGTACTACATGAATGGAAAAGTTACTTCTCATGTATGAGATATATAGTTGTACATGAAGAGCATTAACTTTGGTCCACTTGCCCAGCTTCCTAGGGACAGCATATTGAAAAGCTGATCACTGATGGTGCAAAAACCAGTGTAGAAATTAACAAAAATAGTTTGGTATTTCATTCCTAAACCTGCACAATGTGGTAATTTGTCCTAGTCATCCACCTTTCCATGCTGTGTTTCTACTAGTTGTTGAGTTTTTAAGTCTTCAGCTTGTTCATGATCTTCCTTTTCTGCATCTTCTACTGGACTAGGCTCCTTCTCTTCTGCTTCCTCTTGATCAACATTTTCATATTCTACTTGTTCAAGGTCTGTTCCATCTATAAGTTCTGCCTGTACTTCTTCCATTTGTATTTGATTTACATGCTCAACATGTAATCGCTCCACATGAACCTCAGCCCCTTGTTCAGTCTGAATGTGTTCAACCTCCAAGTAACTAATTTGTACCTGCTCCTGCAGTTCATCTATCTGCATGCCTTTCACTTGATTGTCCTGGAGGAGACCCTGGCGCATCTGCTCCACAGTTACTTGTGCAGGATCCACTTGTACCTGGATTACTGGCAGCACATGGACTTGCTCCACTTGTTCTATTATAGTCATTGATGTTACTGGTTCAGCTTCCACTGGGAGAACTTCCTCTGCCACTATTTGTTCTGAAATATTGTGTATGTCTTTGAGGTGCCTTCTCAGCTCGCTGCCTTGCATGAACCACAAATCACATAAGGTACAGTGGTTGGGTTTGTCACCTGTGTGTATTACCAAGTGGTCTTTAAATTGATCCCAGCTGTTAAACACGCTGTTACATACCTGAAACAAAGATGCAGCATGTTAAACAGTGCCAGCTGAAAGAGGTCAAAGCATAATATTCCATATCATGGCTTTACACGGTGTAGCTTCTTGCTATTTGGATTTAAAAAATGCATATTGAGAGGTCAACGCGGTAAAGGCAACTACGAAAGACACAAAAAGCAGGCATTCTGTGCAGTGTTTCTTAAACTGTGCGTCTCTGAGTTATACATACTCCGGATACCTACAGAATTTATGGATCTGTGCATTTCACCAGTTTCTTAAATTTATCATGTGAAATCCACATACACAATCATACCCTAGTAAGATTCTGGCACTAGAATTTTGGGTGGAAAGCCATTTACATAGAAGTACTATATGATGAAACTATAGCACAAACTGGCCTTTCACTAAAGTTCTAGATGCAGTACCGCTAGCCAACTTCTCATCAGCTTTCATTTGTTCGTAGCATTGAATTTCAACTGGATGGACTAAACTCTCCTTTTTTACCATTTCACAAAAGAGTAATTGCAGCAGATAAAGATCTCTGAAAATTGTATCCTTTAAGTCTCTTCCAGCTGAAAGGGCTGCCTACACTGCAGATGCACTGTTTTCAGCAAGCACTAGAGCACACTTCTTCCTTTAGCTGGCACCAAGGTAAACACCCTGGAAATGACATACACAAAGACATTGCAGACATGGATGAGGTGCCAGGATGGAAGAGAAAGGAGTGAGACTTGTGCCTGGGGTTAAGCAACAGGCTCAAGAGTCCTGCCCATGCTAGTGTTCTTGGCTGTAGAAAGAAGCAAAGAACCCATATTTCAACACTCCTCCACTGCTGGCAAATATTTTTGAAACAAACTGTTCCATCTCCTCCCAGTTTTCAACAATAAATACAGAAAGATAATATTCTTCTGACAGGGAATTAACTCAAGAATCAGCTTTATGAAATGAAGATAAATATCACCATCTTACTGTTAAAGTCTGATAAAACCAAGCTAGTGATGCATTTTACCTACCCTCAGTCTGCACTTCAGAGAGAAGGAAGATGGTTTTACACTTTTTAAAATACCAAGCTTATTGTCAAACACTCAAAATTAGTTATTACATTAAAAGCAAGGACCATCGCTAATGCTTATGTACATAACTACCATTTCTGCCATAAACCTTGGTCTAACTCAGTACACAATGTACAAGAAAGCACCAAAATGCTCAATAAGCAAATGCAATTTTGCTTTCTCCTCTCTGTTGAGTGAGCTAAGTTTCTGTTTATTGATCACTATTCAAGCTGAGTTCTAAAGTCAGAAAGGCTTATGAAAGTTATTTAAAAAGGGATGAAGGGCCACAAAGACAAAACAGGACACTTGGTTTGAAACTATTAAGCACAACTGTTATCATATAGTAGTTCTTATTTTCAAGATCTATAGACTTAAATTTAGCATTAAGACAATTGTGCTCACAAGGACTAAGTTCAGAGTAGCGTGACAACCAAGCGAGGCGATAGCACCAGTGAAACCTCTGGTGAAATGATTTACTAACACCAAGAACTTATTTATCTCCTACTGTGTTCACTACTTTTCATAAACGAGATCACTACATTCTATGAACGGGAACAGATCGTTGCCTCACTTCTGAGGCAAATAAAGCTGATGCCCAGCTCTTTTCTTCAATAGCAATTTAACCTCAGAACTCAGCGGCTCTGAACTGAATGAGTTGAGCCTTAAAGGGGAGGGGGGGAAGTGTTCTTTGAGACCGTAACAGTGTTGGCACCACAAAATGGCAAATAAAAGACCTGAAACCAGTCTCAGTCTTCACATTTCTCGTTTTTGAAAGCTGATTATTAAGAGCTAAGTGATATTCTTCTGAACAGCTTTAGAATGTCAGTTATAAATAGTAACTGAATATCTCAGCTATCCATTTACATCATTTATGCTTGCTAAGAGACACTACACTTCATCAATATGAGTTGGAATGACTTTCCAGAGTCAAGACACTGGGTATCAAACAGAAGGAAAATAAAATAGGAAATAAAATAGTACTTTGCATTTTGGCCTTTAGTGAAGCATGCTCACAAGCAGCAAAGGCCTAGGTCACTGCATTAAGAACCTTGAAAAGGAAGAAGAAAGATCAGTAAAATGCAGCTAAACACTTACCTATCCATAAGCATCTCTATGATTAACAAAGTGTTATGAAGCTCCACATGTTAAATGGAACTACCTAGATGCAAGAACTTCATGTTATATGCACGTTATAGATGAGTATAATCCTTACAGTTATTTTACTGCAGTGGGCTCATGTCTCCAAGACACTCTTCCACTTCTCACTGCCTTTCTAGCTCAGTATTCCCACACTTCCCCAGCACAGGAAGCAGATAACCAGCCTCAGGCCCTACTTCCACTACTCACCTGACATTCATACAGCTTCTTTCTTCCCTTTTTAGCTCCAGCTCCGTTCTATGTAAATAAGTAAGAGAGCAAACCTTATGTGGAGTCATTCTCATTGAGGGAAAAAAAAGACAACTTAACATAGCTACAGATGCCAATAAAAGTACAGTTAAGTATTTATGGAACTTAAATAGCTACTTCATTAGAATATTTAACAGAACAGCAGCATATTTTGACTTATTTACAGCTAGAGACTCAGCTTTAGTAATTATACAGTCATCTGTTATTCAAGAAGAAAGTATTTAAATAATAAAGTTTTATTTTTAGTAAGTATACCTCAGCTTATGATCAAGAGTTCCAATTTACTGAAGCTGAGCTCCATAAAAAGCTGAAAACTTGTTTCTTTTTCCCCAGTGTCATCATGCAACCATTAGCTTAGTCTCAACCAAGCAGGATTTGCTCTCGCTCTGAGAGGAGATTGTCCAATATAGTGCTGGTCCTTTAAAATCTTAAAGGATACAGGAAAGACATTCTCCAATATAGGTACTTTTTAAACC